ACTGACATTAAACGGAATATTAAAGTGAAATGGCAATGGGCTAGCTGTATAACTTGGAAAACCGATAAAAAATAGGAAGGAAGGTTATCGAGTGGCAACCTCGTATTATAGGTAAGCGAAGTAGTACTCAACCTTTATTCCTCTTCACGTATTCTTATACGCTTTTCTTAACACATACACACACAAACACACACAAACACACACACACACACACACACACACACAAATAGGCCACAAATAGGTCACAAATAGGACGCAAATAATACTTACCTAGTACTACGAGTATTAGGCAAGAGTGAATAGGTTTTTGTTAAGGCAGTGCAATTCAACATCTTATGCTACATAACCAGCGATGGGATTGTAGTTGCTTTACTTCTTGCTGGGTAAAAATAGTAAAAAAAAATTACCCTGTGAAAGTTTGCATTTAGATATAACTTTTCTAACCAACCATAAAAATATGATAAGAATATGTATATAAGTATAAAGGTTACCTCACACGGGACGGTAATAATATAATATTATTTCTTCCATTATCTACGCATGAAAACTTTTAAAATCTCTCAATCCCGAGGTATGTGCATTTTAAGAGGCTGAATGGAGCCACATTGATATGCGTAGGGATCGTTTTGTAATTTCACGTCGTTATCGAAAAAAATTGTATGTATTTCAGGTGGCGGTTTGTAAAACACGATTCAACAAAAGTTCACTCAATAGAAAATAATTGCAAAGTTGCTTCTGAAAATACTTAAATTTTCAACGTCAATTTTTTCTTACGTGGTAGAGCCATGCTGCAGTTATATTAGTAGTTGGTATAGTTGTAGCACGAGTGGGTCAGCTCGACCGTGGAAGGGCCACGCTCTCACAGAATACCATGTAAAATAGCAGTTTAAGCCTGCTGTGTTTCGTATGGTGAGTGTAGAGAACCGGAGAACCTTTTTACTGGAAACGAGGCATTACATCTTAGTCCTCACGGGTGAAAACGCATCTACATTTTGATACGTAATCGAGAATAGATGTACCTAGATGTCTATGGGCCGTAGCAACCACTTACCATCAGGTGGACTGTGTGCTCGTTTGTCACCCTTATTCTATTAAAAAAAGCTTTCTGAGATTTCAGTAAAATAATGTTAAGTATTGTAAGCACTCGTACAATTATGTGCCTCATGTTAATAAAGCTATTGGGCTATTTTGATTTTTAATAAAGTGAATTTATTTTATAGGTTAAATAATTTATTTACCCTTTTATATCAAGAACCGTTTTTTTCTGTCACTCCTATTGAATTTGACAGTGTTTGCTGAAATTTAGCATCTTTAGATGGATCAGAATAGCGCGCTGATCCGGTTGTTAGATATTGCAAAAATAAACGAAAATATTTATTTTTACTTTCATGCCGAAGACTACCTTGTTTTATTTTATTACGGTCAAATAATGTTTATTAGGTTATAAAGCAAGTATTTACAAATGTTTACATTATTTTGTTATTCTATTGTTTACAGTTATTATCACATCTTAGCTTTACACCAAGAATTACATTAGAAATTCTTGATGGGATACGATGTAACGCGCATACTTTATTTTCATCAAGAACTATAATATATATATTTGTTTTTTTTTACCAATAGAGATCCAATACAATCTTAAAAAAGTTCAATGAATTAAAAACTGCTAATAATTATATAATTTCAAGTCAGTGTTTTACATTTAAAGATCAGTTATAACGTGCCAAAGTTCTTATTTTCATTTGGATTAATTTAATTCGAGACTAAAATAAATGTGAAAGGGCTTTTATCTGCAATAATAATTTTCATCAAAAATAACATAGACTTATAAAAGTCATATACACGGTCAATCATACTGAAGATTGTCAATTGTACTAAAAAATATTTAAAAGACTATTTCCAGTATAATGACCCGAATATCATCATTAATGTTTGACTGGCACACTTAAAAGTTTTATCCCATGGCTAAATAATTGACTAAATGATTGAGTATATTATGTTAAGGTCATGCTTTTCTATAAAAAGTTGCAATAAATTTTAAATCACGGATCTATTGGTTTGTTTCACTTTTCACTTAATTAGAGAAAAACAAGATGGACTGATCTAAAAGTTTACTTTCTTGTGTAAAAAGTGCTATTTAGAATTTAATGCAAATGATAATTAAAGTTTCTATGTAAATAAGTGTAACATAGCGGGTATTATATTCAATGGTAGCGGCCATCTATATTTGTAAAGCCAGCATCATTTTCTGTACAGAAACCGGCAAAGTGTTGCTCAAGGCACTATAAACAAAGCAGCTGATAAAATGTTACACTCATAACTGTTAACAAAAACTGTTTCCGCAAATAGTCTTATAGATAATAATATCTATTTCGCCGTGTTAGGTGCAGGAGCTATTATTAGAAGGAGAAGAGGTAAAATTTTGTTTTAGAAATGCGCAATCAATATTGTTTTGTCTGTAATTGAGCATAAAATAAAAAATAACTTCAGCCAAAGAGCAAAACTGGCATTATACTGAGTCCCATCAATTGGCATGGAAAAAAATTATTTTACCAGGTTTCAAAAATCCAATCAAAATTCAAAAAAACGTAAATATTAAAATCAAAAAATGTATATATGTATGTCTATACATACATATAATGATTTGTGGCCGCTTAGTAACTGACGGTGACTCAGTATAACATCCTACAGTCACGCCGAAACTAAGAGGAGAGTATCACTGTAGAAAAGGTAATAATTTATTGCGGAAATTATGTGATAAAATTAAAAAAATTATAAAATTATCTAAGTTAATCTAACTTAGTCTAACTTATCCTTATGCGTTACAAAAAAAAACAAATAATATAATAGTGAGATGGCGTCAGTTTTTAAGAAGACATAACAAAAATAAACAAAAAAATAAATTTCAAAAAAGTTCAGGATTTAATTGATTATATACCGCTGACACTTAATAACGCTTTTCGAAACCACGCCAGTTGTAAACAATACTTGTGTGAAAAGACAAAATCTTCTTTTCAAATTTCCGCCGAGTTGTAAGTAGAAGGCCAAAAATATGTCACGTGTCAATTTTAATTAAATATATTTTATACTCGTATGAAGTGATCTTGACTACGTTTCATCAATTAACCATTGGTAAAAATTAAAACAGGAATTTTACGATTGTGTTTACAAAAAACATTATTAGTTGAACCTTGCAGCTTGTTCATTATGTTTATTATAAATACCTATAAATGTATATATTATTAATAAATAGTTCCCATAATATTTTGGATTATTTTTTATTTTGCCCTATCTGCAATGTTCTACGCTCTATAGAAAATGTGGCGTATGACATGACTGACAATCTTTCGAACGTTTTATCTAGGTACAAAGATGTTTTACGTTTTCGTCGCCTCCACATGATATTTTTGTCAGCATACCCTTCTATATCTGAAACGAATATGAATATTGCTACAAAGTAAAGTAATAGGCTACACAAGTCCCTCTACTGGGCACAGGACACTTTTTTATTTCTGAGAGGGTTTTAGGGCAAGGAAATTCCCGCCGTGCTTCCCCAATGCGTATTGACGAAAATTGCAATTACAAATTTCATTCGTGCTGTCGGGGATCAAACCCGGGAAAATTTACAGCGAACGCTTTGACCCAGATCTATTAATACGATACAAATAAATACGATTTAACATATATAATAAAAAACTCTTACGTACTTGAAACTTGAACACTTGATAGCTCGTGACGCCTACCGGACAAAGCTACAGCACAATGTAATAGAAGATCCGTAACCGCGACATAATTCTCAGTGATGCGCAAGCATAACAGGCAGTATGTCACTTATATAATTGTCATCTCTGCAGTCTATTAATCTTTGCACTTTTATAAGTAATACAGAACGTAGTTGCTAGACGGTGTTGACATCGGCTAAAATCTCTGCGATCGCCATTTCGTCAAGGTCATTCAGGCTAGTTAAAGCCTTAACAATTATCTATAGTGTTTGTATCCAAGCTTACGTACGCGTCAGACTGCTGGTACGTAGTGCACTACTGAGATCGCAGTGAACCGCCCTTATAGTGTTAACTAAGGCATACCGATCCACTAGCACGGCGGCCTTACCGGTGCTAGCTGGTGTTCTCCCTGCTGATCTGGAGGTCATCCGTGCTGGTAGGATGGGTATAGATGAGCAGACGGAAGCGCGAAATTTGGACTGAGGTGATCGGTGTTTGTCAGGAGAGATGGATGAATGACTCGAAAGGAAACGAGCTCTATCGATTTTTCCCGGATGTGGCGTTGAGACTTAGGTATACCTGGGTCTCACCGGACTATCAAACCTCTCAGATTCTCACCGGACATGCATGCTTTCGGAAGAGACTGAGTTAAATGCGACTATGTGAAACAAGTATGTGTGAGTGTGGTGTGATAGAGGAGGACGTTCACCATGTTCTATTGGAATGTCCTCTGTATGAAGACCTAAGAGTGAAAATGATGGATCGAGTAGTTCGTCCGGTTCAGGGACCGATCTATTACTCGGATCTCGTCAGCGGTGGGAAGAACTACGTGCTGTTCCGCTAGTTTGCCCAAAGAATGCTGGCAGAAGGGCCTGACAGCGTAGGCGTTAGTGTGTCGTCAGTCCCAGATGGGGGAGAATGACGTTAAAACTGGGACAAGGTATAGAAGAAATGTTTGTAGGGAGTCAAGAAAGTGCGCGCGGGAAAGAGCCACGTGCAAGTATCGCGCGCATCTCCCGAGATTCGGCCCGTATGCCTGAGGGCCGGTGGGGCTATGGGAGATGGTCGGTTGTCCCCTCGATACAGGAGAAAATCCTAGTGTCCACACTAACACTAAGGTTAACAGTTTTTTCACCTCTCTTAAAATTGATAGTCTGTGAGAGCGTTGTCCTTCCCCAGTTGAGCCTAAACTACAGAAAACTATACATGCGACTTAGAATGGTCATTCTGTTAGAATATGAAAATACCCTTTCACGCAGCAGTTAAAAATCTTAGTACCTGTACACTGGCTCGCTATGCTTAAGCTGTGCGACGGGCTGTACTTCTTCCAGCCTCAGGGCTGACAGTAGCACGCTGCCCAGCGTTTGAGCGCCACCCATCCAAAGCTGCGAGCCGAAGTCCGGTTTCAGTCCGTGGAACTCCACTGTGTAGTCTATCACCATGTCGCCTATGTTCGCCCAGTACTTTGCTATTACAACCTCGAGCATCACTCCACCCTATAAAAGAGTATTTTTTATTTTATTTTTGAAGTGAATTTTTTAGGCACGACTAATGGTAACCCAAATCTTTTGTTGGACAGAAGTAATGTTTAAGTTCCGTATTAATAAAGCCCCGGATACACTAGGGGACATTTTTTCCCGCAACATGACGCGGAACCCTCAATTTACGTGACCATGCAACGTTGCACAGTGACCCGCAACATTTTACGTGTTGACATGTTGCTTGGTCCCGCTCCGAGAGCGAGCGCACGTGTCCCGCGTCAGTCGCGCCGTTTGTTGTCGGGTGTACTCGTGTGCGCAACCTGTCCTGCAACAAGTCAGTAGTGTGGGGAAACGAAACCGTGCTTTTACTTCTTGAGCTTTACATGTTTTATTGAGGGATACTTCAAACCACAAATTTCTGGTCCTATTCTGCCGACCAGTTGTTTCGACACTCGAAAAGTGTACGACAAGGAAGCATATGAATCTCCAGTTGACAAGTATACAATGCAATGGCAAGTCTGATATGAGGGCTAACAGCGTTCCTAGCTAACAGGATACAATGCTACGTATCCTGTTTGGCTATAGAAGGTCCGATCATTTGTTATAAAGTTTCAAAATCAGATGTTGACATTCGAGTAAAATTCACAAAAGATCCGTCAGACATTCGGAGATCACTTGAAATATTAAATCCTCTTTCTTTTCGTTGTAGTAAGAAATTCTGCATCCACCACATTCTCTTTCGCTAACGTTTCACTCCCGAAATAAGTACAACCTCCTCGGGGGATATTTACTACCTGATTAATGTGGCATGCAAAATGTTCTGCGACATGTCTCGGGACTTTCCACGTAGTTGTTGAGCGACATGTTGCATACCATGCCGCTCCTTTTCTCCCCTAGTATATCCAAGGCTTAATGATAGTCACTAACTATAATATTTCGTAAGTACATTTAATCTAGGTACTTAATTATAAAAACAAATAGATATAGATACTTTCGCTACCATCGGTTGTCGATTCTTCGGAATATAAGGTTATGTCGCTTACTCTGGTTCTACTGTGGATATCCTTATAATGAATTCTATCATGCAGACAAAGTCCGAGGATAGACCTGTTCATAGCTCTCAATCTCATTTTGCATTCTTTCAACATTCATCATTCAAACGATGGGAATTGAAGCATGGGACGGCAGCCCCCACTAGAGAGTGACGACAGTCTTCATACGTTAGCGAAATTTGTTGTCAGGTGCTACTACAGTGTTAAGCTACTAGGATATAATAGGTGAGAAAGAGAGGAAATGGAGGTGGAGAGGGGGGAGATATCTTGTTTTGTGTGGTGAGTGACGAGAATTAAAGATCCTTATCATGAGTAACGAAGCGATTTGATTCTTTTTCTCTCTGTTTCAATTTGTATAGGGGCAGAAAAGGTTTAGAGAAAGTTGTCGGTGATTACGATCTTGATGTTATCGAGGATAGGTGCTGCAACGGTACAATGTAGCAGGGCATCATAGGTTCAGAGTAAGTTGTCAGCGAGTACGATCTGGTTGTTATTGTGTGCAGTTATCGGGATTGTACCAAGGTAGCAAGACAGCATAGGTTCAGAGAAAGTTGCCGGTGAGTACGATCTGGTTGTTATTGTGTGCAGTTATCGGGACTGTACCAAGGTAGCAAGACAGCATAGATTCAGAGAAAGTTGGCGGCGAGTATGATTTGGTTGTTATTGTGTGCAGTTATCAGGATTGTATTAAGGTAGCAAGGCTGCGTAGGTTCAGAGAAAGTTGCAGGCGAGTACGATCTGGTTATTGTGTGCAGTTGTCGAAACTGTATCAAGGTACCACAGATCAGCATAGATTTAGAGAGTTGTCGGCGAATACCCTGTTGTTATCGAGGGCTGGTGGTGCTGAGGTGTAAAAGTAGGACGCCGCGGCAGCAGCTGCACTGTGTGCAGCAGCAAGCTGCAGTAGAGGTTGCGACTCACGACTAGCTGCAGCGGCATGAGCGCGGGCGCGTCGGCGGCGAGCGAGAGCATGCGGTGCGCCTCGTGCGCGCGGCAGCTGCGCTGCGGCAGCAGCGCTGCGGCAGCAGCTGCACTGTGTGCAGCAGCAAGCTGCAGTAGAGGTTGCGACTCACGACTAGCTGCAGCGGCATGAGCGCGGGCGCGTCGGCGGCGAGCGAGAGCATGCGGTGCGCCTCGTGCGCGCGGCAGCTGCGCTGCGGCAGCAGCGCTGCGGCAGCAGCTGCACTGTGTGCAGCAGCAAGCTGCAGTAGAGGTTGCGACTCACGACTAGCTGCAGCGGCATGAGCGCGGGCGCGTCGGCGGCGAGCGAGAGCATGCGGTGCGCCTCGTGCGCGCGGCAGCTGCGCTGCGGCAGCAGCTGCACTGTGTGCAGCAGCAAGCTGCAGTAGAGGTTGCGACTCACGACTAGCTGCAGCGGCATGAGCGCGGGCGCGTCGGCGGCGAGCGAGAGCATGCGGTGCGCCTCGTGCGCGCGGCAGCTGCGCTGCGGCAGCAGCGCTGCGGCAGCAGCTGCACTGTGTGCAGCAGCAAGCTGCAGTAGAGGTTGCGACTCACGACTAGCTGCAGCGGCATGAGCGCGGGCGCGTCGGCGGCGAGCGAGAGCATGCGGTGCGCCTCGTGCGCGCGGCAGCTGCGCTGCGGCAGCAGCGCTGCGGCAGCAGCTGCACTGTGTGCAGCAGCAAGCTGCAGTAGAGGTTGCGACTCACGACTAGCTGCAGCGGCATGAGCGCGGGCGCGTCGGCGGCGAGCGAGAGCATGCGGTGCGCCTCGTGCGCGCGGCAGCTGCGCTGCGGCAGCAGCTGCACGCAGTGCAGCAGGAAGCTGCAGTAGAGGTTGCGACTCACGACTAGCTGCAGCGGCATGAGCGCGGGCGCGTCGGCGGCGAGCGAGAGCATGCGGTGCGCCTCGTGCGCGCGGCAGCTGCGCTGCGGCAGCAGCTGCACGCAGTGCAGCAGGAAGCTGCAGTAGAGGTTGCGACTCACGACTAGCTGCAGCGGCATGAGCGCGGGCGCGTCGGCGGCGAGCGAGAGCATGCGGTGCGCCTCGTGCGCGCGGCAGCTGCGCTGCGGCAGCAGCGCTGCGGCAGCAGCTGCACTGTGTGCAGCAGCAAGCTGCAGTAGAGGTTGCGACTCACGACTAGCTGCAGCGGCATGAGCGCGGGCGCGTCGGCGGCGAGCGAGAGCATGCGGTGCGCCTCGTGCGCGCGGCAGCTGCGCTGCGGCAGCAGCTGCACGCAGTGCAGCAGGAAGCTGCAGTAGAGGTTGCGACTCACGACTAGCTGCAGCGGCATGAGCGCGGGCGCGTCGGCGGCGAGCGAGAGCATGCGGTGCGCCTCGTGCGCGCGGCAGCTGCGCTGCGGCAGCAGCTGCACGCAGTGCAGCAGGAAGCTGCAGTAGAGGTTGCGACTCACGACTAGCTGCAGCGGCATGAGCGCGGGCGCGTCGGCGGCGAGCGAGAGCATGCGGTGCGCCTCGTGCGCGCGGCAGCTGCGCTGCGGCAGCAGCTGCACGCAGTGCAGCAGGAAGCTGCAGTAGAGGTTGCGACTCACGACTAGCTGCAGCGGCATGAGCGCGGGCGCGTCGGCGGCGAGCGAGAGCATGCGGTGCGCCTCGTGCGCGCGGCAGCTGCGCTGCGGCAGCAGCTGCACGCAGTGCAGCAGGAAGCTGCAGTAGAGGTTGCGACTCACGACTAGCTGCAGCGGCATGAGCGCGGGCGCGTCGGCGGCGAGCGAGAGCATGCGGTGCGCCTCGTGCGCGCGGCAGCTGCGCTGCGGCAGCAGCTGCACGCAGTGCAGCAGGAAGCGCCCCGACCGCGCGCGCTCGCTCGTGCTCAGCCGCACCACTGCCCACGTCGCCTCCGCCGGCACTGCAACACCACACAATACCACCGTAAAATACCACCTTCATACTGCTGTATTTCGTATGGTGCGTGTAGACAACAGTATACTCTTTTTTACTGGAAACGAGGCATTCCATTCTTAGTCCTCAGGGATTACAACGCATGTGCATTTTGATTCTTAATCGAAGATAGATGTTAGATGTCTATGGTCAATAGCACCCTATGTTCGCGCAAAACACTTTCAAGGATTGACGCGAGAGGGCGCTCGGCGCGGTGCATTCATACCGGTTTGACTTTCGGTCGTGCGAAAAACGCCCAAGGGCAAGCAGTCGTCCTTTAATCGGTGCTGACGTGAGCACGCGGTCCATTCTGTTAGGGAACTCGGAATAATTCGGCGCGGCCAGTAAATATACGGTCTATCATTGTGACGCGCATTCCTACTGGAGAGCTTCCCGGGACTTATTGTGTCTGACTCAAAACCTGCATAAGTGCATTCGGCAATATTAGATAGTGCGGCCTCTGATTCTAGAATTAACTATTGCGACGCGAAACGGTAGTGACCTTTAATAAACTGTAAACTCCGTGTGCGTTTTGTGTGTTAACCTGATAACCAGCGATAGTTAGTGGCTTCTGTAAGTTAGTAAATCGTACGATAGAGTTAATTGACTGTCAACGTGACGAAAGAAGAAAGTGACTGTGGATAACCTCGAAAGGCCCCCTCAAATTGGAGCGGTGTCGACGCTCGGGCTGCTGCCGACGGCTAAGGTCCAGGTTTAATCACCATCAGTCACACCCAGATACACACCACATCACCATTCTTTCCCTTGCACTACACAACCACATGCGACCTGACCGACTCCGGAGGGACCAGTCGCCTTGAATAGGTAAGTAAGCTTCATCCATATTCCTTCCGGTCGACGGGCCGTAGTATAACGCTCCGCCATATATTTTAGTGTAATTAGAGAGATTCCACGTGGCCTTAGGAGGCCCGACCTACGTCTGTTCTCGAGGTCTTCAGCTCATGGGCCCCTGAAGATTGGATCCTTTAAGGGAGCAGCCGTAGGCCGTAACACCCTACTTACCATCAAGTGGACTGAGTGCTCGATTGTCACCCTTATACTATAAAAAAAACACACCGCTTCACACAACCACGTAATATGTACTACGTACTAGAACACACCGCAAACAAAATATGTCCGGAAGTGCGAGGCGCGTGTTAAGAGGCACAAAGTAACATTTTATACCACAGACTACATAAGTTTGAGTCTACAGTCTCTAACACGTGTTTTAAACAACCAAGTCTCACCATTTCTTCTAGTACGTAATACACTTTATGTTACGGCCTGCAGCTGCCCCTGCAAAGCTCGTCTTGGCTGGGGCCCATAGCAACCTGCTCGACGGGCAGACGCGGGTCGGGCCCAAATGGCCATATGGAGAAATGTCCTATCATACTAAACTGTAGGGAGAAGGCTAGAAAAATATAGTACGTACCTGTATCCGAATCTAAGGCCGCCCCTAGGCTCGGTAAGGCCGTAGGTGGGTGTAAGGTGCATGGAAAGTAGTGTTTAGTGATGTGTATGTGTCTGAGACCTGGACCAGCTCAGGTAACCGGCAGCGGCCGATTTCCAGGCTGCCCCACAATGCTGCAGCACTCCAGCAGGCTTCCCTGCTGGACCATTTCTTTCTTCATGTCACTATTTCAGTCTATTAACTTCATTGTACATTTAACTAACTTAAACTTGCCTAATTTCACATTCATCGTAGAATCTAACACGTGACACCCGACACAGTAACGGACAGTAGTTCAAAGTTCAACATTCAATGTCCCGGATTCATTTATCACCAAATGACGAATAGTGAACTAACGCGATCTCTTGGTAAGTCACACGGTTCAGCGTTACAAACACAACTAAATTCCTTCGTTCGATATCAAACACTACGCCGCGATAAGAATTCAAAATACGCCTCGTTGACACGCAAAACTAACAAAACAGTAAACACACAAAAAAGGGCACTTAACGCGACGGCACAATTACTTTCAAAGAAGTTACTTTAATCAGTCAAACACAATACAAGCCTCTTGTCAAAAACTTAGACCCTAGACAACCTAAAACGAGGCGATTTTCACGAAACACAATTACGTAGCGATGTCACGCGCACAATTTCCAAAATTCTAGACCTTAATCCAAAAAAACCGGTCTCGCGAACCTCAGCGGCGGGCATCGAAAGACACCAATTAACTGCCCAGCCGCCGTCGAGCTACTATCAACTACTCTCTCGCCCGACAACGCCATAACGCTGGGAAGCTCCCTTCCGCTGCCCCTCCCCGCAACACGCGTGACACCTGGCACCATCAGCCGATTCACGAAGTCGAACGTGATTGGATGTCGTACAAATTACCTTTTTTGGGCCTAAACACTTTATATTTCTTCAGTATATTTTCACTTCAATTTTATTTATACATTATACATGCAAATTTATTTAGATTATTATGCATGTGTATGCAGGTGTCTATAGTCCCATAGCATTTACTTACCATCAGATGGACTGTGTGCTCTTAGGTAACCCTTCTGAAAACGCACTGTGTTAACCAGCCCAGGTGCCGCCAAAGGTACCAGGACATCAGGAAGTCGTTGGCGAATACGATTATGTTATTCCGTGCGCAAGTCCGTTTAGGAAGGTACCACCCTCTTAGCTATTTCTGCCGCCAACTAATAGTGCTTAAACTGGTGTGTCTGGTCTGGAGGATATAGAGTGCCAGTATAATCACAGGCTATAAGTTATTCCATCTTAGACTTCTGAGGTGACAGCGCATCGTAGCCTTCTTTATTTGAAGTTGACTGCAGATGTCCATAGGCTGCAGTAGCCACTTACCATCAGATGGATTGCAAAATCATTTGTCACTTTAGTTTTATAAAATAAATACATTTCAGTAGTTTGTTTGATATAAGCAACTGGAACTATATACTATAATCATAAAAATAAATTACCAAATTACCCATAACGAAGTGTCGTCGTATAGTGGCGGGTTTGAAGAGAACATCCTTTTCGGAAAAGAATGGGTAAGCGGGCCCTGACATCTCTAGTGGCTGTGGCTGAAATACAGTGATCCACAAGCGGTATACAGGGCCCTTCTCCACGCACGTAACGTCGTACGCATTGATACTGAAATGACAAATGTGACAATATTATATAATGGGTCTTATAAAAGTAAAATGTTAAAGAATTATAAGTGATAGAGCCACGCTGGAGGTATATTATAGTTGAAGCACGAATATGCCGATTCAGCGGGGATATTTTTTTTTTATAGCAATCGGGTTTAAACGAACATACGGTTCACCTAATGAAAAGTGTTGACCACCGCCACAGTTTAAACACAGTCTAACATCTAGTAAACGAATGCACTTGTGCATAGCAACGGCGGGGAACTTGCGGGGCAGAGGGGGGGCGACCTTGTGCCAGCGCACTGCACTGAGGTTAACGCGAGCGTTTTACAGTACTTATTTAACATTTATAGGGTGAATAACTGTCATAGTTATATGAGTTTCTAAGTAAAATTGAATTCAAGTGACCGCCATGCATATCTTTCCCTCATTTTCTTTTTATGTTTATCTTAATTAAATTTAACAATCGAAGACTGAAAACATCTTAAAATGAAGGTGTCATGAAAATATTTGGCAGTGCAACACTTGTAAATGTGTTTTATCTAGTAGTAATAAAAACATGATATTGTTCAATAAATATTTTTAACTTAAGTATTTACATAATGTTAATAACAATGATGATGAGTAATATAAAATTCAAAATTATTTTATTCTCAATTTCGCGACAAACCCGAGAATACACGACATACCGCCCGCGTCTTTCAAGCAATGCTTCCGCCACCACCTACGCAGGCGGAAGCATTACTTGAATCGAGGATAGATTTAGATACCACAGCATCCACTTACCATTAGGTAAACGGTGTACTCGCTTATCAACCTTTTTCTATAATAATAATGTAGGTGTATGGGTCCAATATAGCTGGAGCGTGGCTGCCCCACGTGTGGTCAGCAAGCAGCGAGCAGCGGAGCAGCGTGCAGGTGCAGGTGCAGATGCAGGTACCTGGCGTGGTGCGGGCCCGGCGGCAGCGCGGCGGTGTGTATCCGCAGGGCGAGTGTCCGCGGCGCGTGCATGAGCTCGAGGTTATATAGCTGCAGCGTGCAGGTGCAGGTGCAGGTGCAGGTACCTGGCGTGGTGCGGGCCCGGCGGCAGCGCGGCGGTGTGTATCCGCAGGGCGAGTGTCCGCGGCGCGTGCATGAGCTCGAGGTTATATAGCTGCAGCGTGCAGGTGCAGGTGCAGGTGCAGGTACCTGGCGTGGTGCGGGCCCGGCGGCAGCGCGGCGGTGTGTATCCGCAGGGCGAGTGTCCGCGGCGCGTGCATGAGCTCGAGGTTATATAGCTGCAGCGTGCAGGTGCAGGTGCAGGTGCAGGTACCTGGCGTGGTGCGGGCCCGGCGGCAGCGCGGCGGTGTGTATCCGCAGGGCGAGTGTCCGCGGCGCGTGCATGAGCTCGAGGTTATATAGCTGCAGCGTGCAGGTGCAGGTGCAGGTGCAGGTACCTGGCGTGGTGCGGGCCCGGCGGCAGCGCGGCGGTGTGTATCCGCAGGGCGAGTGTCCGCGGCGCGTGCATGAGCTCGAGGTTATATAGCTGCAGCGTGCAGGTGCAGGTGCAGGTGCAGGTACCTGGCGTGGTGCGGGCCCGGCGGCAGCGCGGCGGTGTGTATCCGCAGGGCGAGTGTCCGCGGCGCGTGCATGAGCTCGAGGTTATATAGCTGCAGCGTGCAGGTGCAGGTGCAGGTGCAGGTACCTGGCGTGGTGCGGGCCCGGCGGCAGCGCGGCGGTGTGTATCCGCAGGGCGAGTGTCCGCGGCGCGTGCATGAGCTCGAGGTTATATAGCTGCAGCGTGCAGGTGCAGGTGCAGGTGCAGGTACCTGGCGTGGTGCGGGCCCGGCGGCAGCGCGGCGGTGTGTATCCGCAGGGCGAGTGTCCGCGGCGCGTGCATGAGCTCGAGGTTATATAGCTGCAGCGTGCAGGTGCAGGTGCAGGTGCAGGTACCTGGCGTGGTGCGGGCCCGGCGGCAGCGCGGCGGTGTGTATCCGCAGGGCGAGTGTCCGCGGCGCGTGCATGAGCTCGAGGTTATATAGCTGCAGCGTGCAGGTGCAGGTGCAGGTGCAGGTACCTGGCGTGGTGCGGGCCCGGCGGCAGCGCGGCGGTGTGTATCCGCAGGGCGAGTGTCCGCGGCGCGTGCATGAGCTCGAGGTTATATAGCTGCAGCGTGCAGGTGCAGGTGCAGGTGCAGGTACCTGGCGTGGTGCGGGCCCGGCCGCAGCGCGGCGGTGTGTATCCGCAGGGCGAGTGTCCGCGGCGCGTGCATGAGCTCGAGGTTATATAGCTGCAGCGTGCAGGTGCAGGTGCAGGTGCAGGTACCTGGCGTGGTGCGGGCCCGGCGGCAGCGCGGCGGTGTGTATCCGCAGGGCGAGTGTCCGCGGCGCGTGCATGAGCTCGAGGTTATATAGCTGCAGCGTGCAGGTGCAGGTGCAGGTGCAGGTACCTGGCGTGGTGCGGGCCCGGCGGCAGCGCGGCGGTGTGTATCCGCAGGGCGAGTGTCCGCGGCGCGTGCATGAGCTCGAGGTTATATAGCTGCAGCGTGCAGGTGCAGGTGCAGGTGCAGGTACCTGGCGTGGTGCGGGCCCGGCGGCAGCGCGGCGGTGTGTATCCGCAGGGCGAGTGTCCGCGGCGCGTGCATGAGCTCGAGGTTATATAGCTGCAGCGTGCAGGTGCAGGTGCAGGTGCAGGTACCTGGCGTGGTGCGGGCCCGGCGGCAGCGCGGCGGTGTGTATCCGCAGGGCGAGTGTCCGCGGCGCGTGCATGAGCTCGAGGTTATATAGCTGCAGCGTGCAGGTGCAGGTGCAGGTGCAGGTACCTGGCGTGGTGCGGGCCCGGCGGCAGCGCGGCGGTGTGTATCCGCAGGGCGAGTGTCCGCGGCGCGTGCATGAGCTCGAGGTTATATAGCTGCAGCGTGCAGGTGCAGGTGCAGGTGCAGGTACCTGGCGTGGTGCGGGCCCGGCGGCAGCGCGGCGGTGTGTATCCGCAGGGCGAGTGTCCGCGGCGCGTGCATGAGCTCGAGGTTATATAGCTGCAGCGTGCAGGTGCAGGTGCAGGTGCAGGTACCTGGCGTGGTGCGGGCCCGGCGGCAGCGCGGCGGTGTGTATCCGCAGGGCGAGTGTCCGCGGCGCGTGCATGAGCTCGAGGTTATATAGCTGCAGCGTGCAGGTGCAGGTGCAGGTGCAGGTACCTGGCGTGGTGCGGGCCCGGCGGCAGCGCGGCGGTGTGTATCCGCAGGGCGAGTGTCCGCGGCGCGTGCATGAGCTCGAGGTTATATAGCTGCAGCGTGCAGGTGCAGGTGCAGGTGCAGGTACCTGGCGTGGTGCGGGCCCGGCGGCAGCGCGGCGGTGTGTATCCGCAGGGCGAGTGTCCGCGGCGCGTGCATGAGCTCGAGGTTATATAGCTGCAGCGTGCAGGTGCAGGTGCAGGTGCAGGTACCTGGCGTGGTGCGGGCCCGGCGGCAGCGCGGCGGTGTGTATCCGCAGGGCGAGTGTCCGCGGCGCGTGCATGAGCTCGAGGTTATATAGCTGCAGCGTGCAGGTGCAGGTGCAGGTGCAGGTACCTGGCGTGGTGCGGGCCCGGCGGCAGCGCGGCGGTGTGTATCCGCAGGGCGAGTGTCCGCGGCGCGTGCATGAGCTCGAGGTTATATAGCTGCAGCGTGCAGGTGCAGGTGCAGGTGCAGGTACCTGGCGTGGTGCGGGCCCGGCGGCAGCGCGGCGGTGTGTATCCGCAGGGCGAGTGTCCGCGGCGCGTGCATGAGCTCGAGGTTATATAGCTGCAGCGTGCAGGTGCAGGTGCAGGTACCTGGCGTGGTGCGGGCCCGGCGGCAGCGCGGCGGTGTGTATCCGCAGGGCGAGTGTCCGCGGCGCGTGCATAAGCTCGAGGTTATATAGCTGCAGCGTGCAGGTGCAGGTGCAGGTGCAGGTACCTGGCGTGGTGCGGGCCCGGCGGCAGCGCGGCGGTGTGTATCCGCAGGACGAGTGTCCGCGGCGCGTGCATGAGCTCGAGGTTATATAGCTGCAGCGTGCAGGTGCAGGTGCAGGTGCAGGTACCTGGCGTGGTGCGGGCCCGGCGGCAGCGCGGCGGTGTGTATCCGCAGGGCGAGTGTCCGCGGCGCGTGCATAAGCTCGAGGTTATATAGCTGCAGCGTGCAGGTGCAGGTGCAGGTGCAGGTACCTGGCGTGGTGCGGGCCCGGCGGCAGCGCGGCGGTGTGTATCCGCAGGGCGAGTGTCCACGGCGCGTGCATGAGCTCGAGGTTATATAGCTGCAGCGTGCAGGTGCAGGTGCAGGTGCAGGTACCTGGCGTGGTGCGGGCCCGGCGGCAGCGCGGCGGTGTGTATCCGCAGGGCGAGTGTCCGCGGCGCGTGCATGAGCTCGAGGTTATATAGCTGCAGCGTGCTGGTGCAGGTGCAGGTGCAGGTACCTGGCGTGGTGCGGGCCCGGCGGCAGCGCGGCGGTGTGTATCCGCAGGGCGAGTGTCCGCGGCGCGTGCATAAGCTCGAGGTTATATAGCTGCAGCGTGCAGGTGCAGGTGCAGGTGCAGGTACCTGGCGTGGTGCGGGCCCGGCGGCAGCGCGGCGGTGTGTATCCGCAGGGCGAGTGTCCGCGGCGCGTGCATGAGCTCGAGGTTATATAGCTGCAGCGTGCAGGTGCAGGTGCAGGTGCAGGTACCTGGCGTGGTGCGGGCCCGGCGGCAGCGCGGCGGTGTGTATCCGCAGGGCGAGTGTCCGCGGCGCGTGCATGAGCTCGAGGTTATATAGCTGCAGCGTGCAGGTGCAGGTGCAGGTGCAGGTACCTGGCGTGGTGTGGGCCCGGCGGCAGCGCGGCGGTGTGTATCCGCAGGGCGAGTGTCCGCGGCGCGTGCATGAGCTCGAGGTTATATAGCTGCAGCGTGCAGGTGCAGGTGCAGGTGCAGGTACCTGGCGTGGTGCGGGCCCGGCGGCAGCGCGGCGGTGTGTATCCGCAGGGCGAGTGTCCGCGGCGCGTGCATGAGCTCGAGGTTATATAGCTGCAGCGTGCAGGTGCAGGTGCAGGTGCAGGTACCTGGCGTGGTGCGGGCCCGGCGGCAGCGCGGCGGTGTGTATCCGCAGGGCGAGTGTCCGCGGCGCGTGCATGAGCTCGAGGTTATATAGCTGCAGCGTGCAGGTGCAGGTACCTGGCGTGGTGCGGGCCCGGCGGCAGCGCGGCGGTGTGTATCCGCAGGGCGAGTGTCCGCGGCGCGTGCATGAGCTCGAGGTTATATAGCTGCAGCGTGCAGGTGCAGGTGCAGGTGCAGGTACCTGGCGTGGTGCGGGCCCGGCGGCAGCGCGGCGGTGTGTATCCGCAGGGCGAGTGTCCGCGGCGCGTGCATGAGCTCGAGGTTATATAGCTGCAGCGTGCAGGTGCAGGTGCAGGTGCAGGTACCTGGCGTGGTGCGGGCCCGGCGGCAGCGCGGCGGTGTGTATCCGCAGGGCGAGTGTCCGCGGCGCGTGCATGAGCTCGAGGTTATATAGCTGCAGCGTGCAGGTGCAGGTGCAGGTGCAGGTACCTGGCGTGGTGCGGGCCCGGCGGCAGCGCGGCGGTGTGTATCCGCAGGGCGAGTGTCCGCGGCGCGTGCATGAGCTCGAGGTTATATAGCTGCAGCGTGCAGGTGCAGGTGCAGGTGCAGGTACCTGGCGTGGTGCGGGCCCGGCGGCAGCGCGGCGGTGTGTATCCGCAGGGCGAGTGTCCGCGGCGCGTGCATGAGCTCGAGGTTATATAGCTGCAGCGTGCAGGTGCAGGTGCAGGTGCAGGTACCTGGCGTGGTGCGGGCCCGGCGGCAGCGCGGCGGTGTGTATCCGCAGGGCGAGTGTCCGCGGCGCGTGCATGAGCTCGAGGTTATATAGCTGCAGCGTGCAGGTGCAGGTGCAGGTGCAGGTACCTGGCGTGGTGCGGGCCCGGCGGCAGCGCGGCGGTGTGTATCCGCAGGGCGAGTGTCCGCGGCGCGTGCATGAGCTCGAGGTTATATAGCTGCAGCGTGCAGGTGCAGGTGCAGGTACCTGGCGTGGTGCGGGCCCGGCGGCAGCGCGGCGGTGTGTATCCGCAGGGCGAGTGTCCGCGGCGCGTGCATGAGCTCGAGGTGCGCGGGCGCTGACACCCAGCCGCTGCTGCACGCCAGCGCCAGCCGCAAGCTGAACGCGATCTGCTTGGGAATGACCGACTTGTCTGCAACACCAACCACGCACCCACCGCTACATACAAACACTTCTATATACAACATGCCACAAAAACCACGTGGTTCCCGTTAGGTGTGCTATCGAAATCAGTATTCAAATGTATACAAATAACTATATTTTTAATTAAAACTAATTTTACGGATTTTATCGCGTATATTAACTTATTTTTATATTCCCGACGTTTCGGGTGCTTTCCAGCACCCGTGGTCACCGGGGGCTGAGTTGTTTAACGTCCTGCTGTCATAGTTAGTCCGGCTACCTTCAGTTTTTTAATATTAATTTTTGGTTCGATTTACGCAGAATGAGCTTACAGTATCTTGAAGTCTAGCAGTGGTATACTTGGGTTTGGATTTGATTTTATTAATTATGGGATCCCAAGCAGATGGCAGCACCCATCCATCTTCTCTATTGAAATTAGGATGTTTTTTAATTTCAATAGCCTCGCGAATCATCCTTGGGAGGAATCGGTGTTCTTTTGCGAGGATTTGTGGTCTATCAAATCTAATGTAATGACGGGGACGATCCTGAACATGTTCACAAACTGCAGACTTCCCGATACGTCGGTGCTTCACGTCAGCTATATGTTCTTTAACGCGGGTTTTAATAGATCTTTTTGTTTGTCCTATGTACGAGAGACCACATTCACAATCCAGCTTGTACACTCCTGCATCTTGTAGGGATATGACCGATATTTAAATGGTGAATCTCACCATCATTCTTCACAGTTAGCTACCGTGGGAAAATCTTTGTTTCAGAGAGCACGAGGGATCTGTGACAGAAAACATCTGGCCGCCGAGCTTCAGCACGTCGAGCAAGTACTGCAAGACAACAAGCTTCGGGTCCCGCGCCTACGTCACAGTGACCGAGTGAAGCCAGCCACAGTCGAGCGTGTGCCTGCTGTACTACCCTATGTCAGAGGAGTCACAGACAAGGTTGGCTACATCTTGAAGCGAGCTTCCATTAAAACGTACTTCAAGCCGCTGAAGAAGATTGGTCAATTTTTACCATCCGTCAAGTGTCATATCCCTCTACAAGATGCAGGAGTGTACAAGCTGGATTGTGAATGTGGTCTCTCGTACATAGGACAAACAAAAAGATCTATTAAAACCCGCGTTAAAGAACATATAGCTGACGTGAAGCACCGACGTATCATCATTACATTAGATTTGATAGACCACAAATCCTCGCAAAAGAACACCGATTCCTCCCAAGGATGATTCGCGAGGCTATTGAAATTAAAAAACATCCTAATTTCAATAGAGAAGATGGATGGGTGCTGCCATCTGCTTGGGATCCCATAATTAATAAAATCAAATCCAAACCCAAGTATACCACTGCTAGACTTCAAGATACTGTAAGCTCATTCTGCGTAAATCGTACCAAAAATTAATAATAAAAAACTGAAGGTAGCCGGGCTAAGTATGACAGCAGGACGTCAAACAACTCAGTCTCCCGTGACCACGGGTGCTGGAAAGCACCCGAAACGTCGGGAATATAAAAATAAGTTAATATACGCGATAAAATCCGTAAAATTAGTTTTAATTAAAAATGTGTAGTGTTCGCGTAAATATAAGAAATCATCAAATAACTATAGTTAAAAAACTAGACCACAAAAAAAATTAATTTAAATAAAATATAATTTTATTTGCAAATGGTATTTTTGTGGTTTTATTACATCTGCATTCAGTATGGTCAAAGACATCCGCTTTCCCAGCGCACGCAAGTCACAAATGCCTACCGACCTTCGACAAATCACGAATATACCTACCATACAGCACCGCCTGCTAAGCAAACGACAGCACGTCTTTAAAACGTGACTCAATTTATTTACGTAACTTAAGAATACTCAACACAGTATAAAAATCAAGGTTTAAATGTTAAGATCGTCTTTTATTTTTGAGAACATACATGGAGGTACTTTTCAAAACTTGACTATTTCATTTTCACCCAAAGTAGATTTTTAAATTTTTTTAGGTTGCTTACATTGAAATGTGTATGCATCGAAAACAAAATCCTGACAAAACGTGATAGATCAACTAGAAAAATATATTTAAAAACGCATGATTTCGTCACAAGTAGATTATTCCTAAAAAAAAGAAGATTAATGACAGATTAACAACAAAACATGATTAATCCAGAAGAAATTTTTTTTATCACTGGAAATTGTAACAAAACATTTTTTTCCTCATATTTTTAAGGTAGTTGTTTTTATGTTTTCATTGGTGCCAAGGCTGCCATGTTTTTAAACGGTTGATGACAGGCTCAAAAGGGCAAGAACCCAGAGCCGTAAAACGTGTTTAAAAAATTCTTATTTGACATTCACTGCTGGCCGGATGAGGAAGCTCAAGGTCGCTCAGCGAGCTATGGAGGGCTATGCTCGGAGTTTCTCTGCGTGATAAACTCAGAAATGAGGATATCCGCAGTAGAACTAGAGTGACTGACATAGCCCAACGGATTAGTAAGCTGAAGTGGCAATGGGCCGGCCATATAGCTCGAAGAACCGACAACCGATGGGGAAGAAAGGTTCTCGAGTGGCAGCCTCGTACCGCCAGGCGAAGTGTAGGGCGTCCCCCCACTAGATGGAGTGACGACCTGGTAAGATATGCAGGAAGTCGATGGATGCAGGTGGCTCAGGACCGTGCTTTGTGGCATTCTATGGGGGAGGCCTATGTTCAGCAGTGGACTTGTGAAGGGCTGTATTGATGATGATGATGATGATCCGACAGATGACACCCGTTATACTTTGTCGATCATTGTTGAACGTCAAAACCAAATATTTTTGTCTGTCGCGGTCAGTTGCAGTTTATAAAACTTTTATGCGTTGGGAATTGTGTTTTCGACATTTCGAGGATCAAAATAATTTTGAGAAATGCAGTCTCAAACAACAGTACAAGATATAAATACAGGTTCAAGAAGTAGAAAGCGCGGACGACAAAATCGAAAGAAGTAAGTTTTTGTGTCTTAAACCTAGCTACAAATCTATTGTCTTAAAACTTCTGCGTTTTAATTCAATGTAATTTTTTATTAACGTGGTCTATATTCTTGCTTCAGGGACTATTCGGACTGTGACCCATGTGCACTTGCATTTGAAAAGCCTTGTAATCATAGCGAATACAGCAAATTTCATTGCAACAAATTCGTAAGAAGAGATATTTTGAAAAATCGTAAGGGATTGTACAAAAACCAGTCCAAAGTGGACCAGGATGCATATTTGTCGAGATTAATTTCGGTATATGAACCTGTTCGTCGTCGCAACAGTAAAACAAATCCCACGAAGCCCAGACCTAAGCAAAAATCAGCCACTTTTTTTCTACTGAGAAATGGTCATCCTAAGGGAGTATGCAAGAAATTTTTTTTAAAAGCTTTAGGATTAAATAGAGGAAGAGTGGATATTCTTGTGAGACGACTAGGCAATGGGGATGGGATAAGAGAAAATAGAGCTGGAGACCGAAAAAGCTTATTAAAAAAAATTATTAATAATTTTGAAGCTGTTGAATCTCATTATAATAGGGCAAAATCCAAGCGTATACTGGGTGGCGCCCAGGTTATCACGTTAAATAGCACAACAGTTAATACAAGTTGATATATGTCTGTTAAAATAATAAAATAAACAATAATAAAAACTAATAAAAACTGCATCTTTCAAACAAAATAAATAGGGTAAAAAATCACATAAAATAAATCATCCTTGATAATATTACTTAACTGACCTGAAATGACTTGTAGAAGCGGCAACGTCGCGGCCAGCGGTTCATTGCTCATGCGACATCGATATAGGTAATTATATTATAATACCTAGGTCCTAGGACTTGCCCATACATAGGTAATTAGGCACGCGTAGGGCGATGCTAATCCGATGTTATCAACAAATCACAAATTTCATGGTATTTTTTTATCCAAATAATCACTTTAACCTTGAAATCACTCAAGTTTATGAAACAAATCAAATTTTTAAATTTTCAAAATGTCCGCCGTGTATCCGAATGCATAATTGACATCGTCGCATGATATTATTTCGGACTTTTCGAAAGAGGGCACCATTGGCTGCAAAATTTTTTATTTTGTCGAAAGCCCGCATTATTCTTATTTTTAAGTCCTCGACAGTCGTTACTTCAGTAGAGTACACCTCATTTTTTATGTAACCCCATAAAAAGAAATCTAACGGTGTTAGATCCGGAGACCGTGCTGGCCACCGAGAAGGTCCGTATCTGCCAATCCAGTTCTCTCCGAACATCTCAGTGAGGCGCTGCCTGGCAGCCACCACTGAATGAGCAGGTGCTCCATCAAGCTGGTACCATAACCGGCTATTGGCCCCCAACGATAGTCCATCAACGTAATCCGCCACTGTGTCGTCAAGCAGTTCCAAAAATTTAGGCCCATTAAGGTTGCCTTCGATAAACACGGGACCAATTATTTGATCTCCGTGTATTCCAGCCCAAACATTAACGGCAAATCTATATTGGTGCATAGACTCTCGACACAGTTGCGGATTTTCTTGACTCCAGTATCGTAAGTTCTGCCGATTCCATATTCCGTTACGCGTGAATGTGCTCTCGTCAGTCCACATTACGTTTGCTAAAAAGTTAGAGTCATTAGCTACTTTGCTCAGGAGCCATTCACAGTAGGCTTCCCTAACTGGCTTATCTCTATCTAATAAAGCCTGTACCTTTACGTATTTGAACGGCCGTTGCTTGTTTTTTTTTAATATTCTGTGAACAGACTTGTGGTGTACACAGAATTGGCGAGCTGCTCTACGGAGACTTGATGTTGGATTACGAGCGAAATAATTTAATATTCGTTCTTCCTGAGCCACGGCGACTCGCGGAGGAATTTCAACCTGACGTGGAATCAAATTTTCGCCGTCACGTAATCTTTGGACTGCCCGTATAAAAATCCGTCAGTCTGTAGGACATACACGTGTGGTATTATACCTCTCTCGGTATGTTCCTAATGCCAGGGACGCGTTTTGGTGGCATTCTCCATAAATTA